CTCTTGCTTTTGTATGTTTCGAATCAAACCTAACAGAAGTTCCTTATAATACTTGGTGGATTGATTCTGGTTCTACCACTCATGTTTCAAATACGATGCAGGGATTCCTTACGACCCAAACCATAAATTCAAATGAAAATTTCATCTTCATGGGTAATTGAGTCAAAGCTCCAGTTGAGGCCATTGGAACCTACCGCTTGTTTTTAGACACTGGACATCATTTAGAACTTTTTCAAACTCTTTATGTACCTACTATTTCTCGCAACTTAGTTTCTTTGTCTAAACTTGATACCGTTGGTTACTCTTTTAAATTTGGAAATGGATGTTTCAGCTTGTTTAAGTAAAATCATCTTATTGGTTCTGGTGTTCTCTCTGATGGTTTATACAAATTAAGACTTGATAATCTTTTTGCTGAATCTCTATTAACCTTGCATCATAATGTTGGAACTAAACGAAGTTTAGTGAATGAAAGTTCAGCTTATTTGTGGCATAAACGTTTGAGACATATTTCCAAAGAAAGAATACAAAGATTGGTAAAGAATGAAATCCTTCCTAATTTGGATTTTACTGATCTTGGTATTTGTGTGGATTGTATTAAAGGAAAACATACAAATCATACAATTAAGAAAGCCACCACAAGAAGCACACAGCTCCTTGAAATAATACACACCGATATATGTGGACCTTTTGATGTTCCATCCTTTAATAAAGAAAAATATTTTATCACATTTATTGATGATTTTTCACGTTATGAATATGTCTATTTGTTGCATGAAAAATCTCAATCAGTAGATGCCTTAGAGGTATTTATTAATGAGGTTGAAAGACAATTAGACAAAAAGGTGAAAATCATTAGATCTGATAGGGGTGGTGAATTTTATGGAAAATATAACGAAACGGGACAATGTCCTGGTCCATTTGCTAAATTTCTTGAAAAGCGTGGCATATGTGCTTAATAGACTATGCCAGGTACACCGCAACAAAATGGTGTTGCAGAAAGGCGTAATCGTACACTAATGGACATGGTTAGGAGTATGTTGAGTTATTCCTCTTTACCCTTATCATTGTGGATGTATGCTTTAAAAACCGCAATGTATTTGTTAAACAGGGTTCCTAGTAAAGCAGTTTCAAAGACTCCTTTGAACTGTGGACAGGAAAGAAACCCAGTTTGAGACACCTTCATGTTTAGGGTTGTCCTGCGGAAATACGAATTTATAATCCACATGAAAAGAAACTGGACTCAAGAACAACCAGTGGTTTCTTCATTGGTTATCCAGAAAAATCTAAAGGGTATAGATTTTATTGTCCTAGCCATAGCACTAAAATTGTTGAAACTGGAAATGCCAGGTTTATTGAGAATGGTGACATTAGTGGGAGTATGGAACCACATAAAGTGGAAATTCAAGAAGTTAAAATTAATATTCTTTTGCCTTTAACTTCTTCTCAAATTGTTGTTCCTACAGTTATTGAACAGTTTAACAACTTTCAAGAACAACAAATAAATGATCAAACACTCCATGAAGACGTTGTTACCAATGAACCTGCAATAGATATACCCCATGAAGAAGTAGCATTACGAAGGTCTCAAAGATAGAAAAAATATGCTATTCCTGATGATTATGTGGTTTATCTACAAGAGTCAGAATTTGATCTTGGAATTGATGAAGATCCGGTTTCATTTTCACAGACCATGAAAAACCATAATTCTGATAAATGGTTTGATGCCATGAAAGATGAGTTGAAATCAATGGAGCATAATGAAGTTTAGGATCTTGTAGAATTACCTAAAGGTTGTAAAAAAGTTGGGTGTAAATGGGTCTTTAAGACCAAACACGACTCAAATGGCAATATCGAACGATACAAGGCTAGACTCGTTGCCAAAGATTTTACTCAGAAAGATGGCGTTGACTATAAAGAAATATTTGCTCCTGTTTCAAAAAAGGATTCATTGAGAATTATTATGGCTATGGTGGCTCATTATGATTTAGAGCTACATCAAATGGATGTAAAAACTGCCTTTCTAAATGAAAATTTAGATGAAGAAGTTTACATGGACCAACCCGACGGTTTTTCAGTTGAAGGAAAGGAACACATGGTGTGTAAGCTTAAGAGGTCAATATACGGACTGAAACAAGCTTCCCGACAATGGTATCTTAAGTTTAATGATACTATTACATCTTTTGGATTTAAAGAAAACATCGTTGATCGATGTATATATCTAAAGATCAGTGGGAGCAAGTTTATATTTCTTATTCTGTATGTTGATGATATCTTACTTGCTGCTAATGATCTTGGTTTATTACACGAGACCAAGAAATTTCTCTCCAATAACTTCGAAATGAAAGATATGGGTGAGGCATCCTATGTGATAGGAATTAAAATATTCCGTGATAGATCACAAGGATTGTTAGGGTTGTCTCAAAAATCATATATTAATAAAGTTCTAGAGAGGTTCAAGATGGATAAATGCTCTGCATCTGTAGTTCCAATTCAGAAAGGGGATAAATTCAGTCTTATGCAATGTCCAAAGAATGAATTGGAACACAAACAAATGGAACAAATTCCTTATGCATCCATCATTGGGAGCTTGATGTATGCTCAGGTTTGTACAAGACCTGACATTAGTTTTGCTGTCGGAATGCTTGGTAGATATCAAATTAATCCAGGATTGGATCATTGGAAAGCTGCAAAGAAGGTATTGAGATACTTGCAAGGAACAAAGGAACATATGCTCACTTATAGGAGATCTGATCACCTTGAGGTGATTGGATATACAGATTCAGATTTTGCTGGATGTTTGGATACTAGAAAATCCACATTTGGCTATCTGTTTCTTCTAGCTGGAGGAGCGATCTCGTGAAAAAGTGCGAAGCAGTCTGTCATTACTGCATCGACTATGGAGGCTGAGTTCGTGGCATGCTTTGAGGCCACTGTTCATGGATTATGGCTGCGGAATTTTATTTTAGGACTTGGAGTTGTTGACAGTATTGCCAAGCCGCTGAAAATTTATTGCGATAATGCTGCAACAGTCTTCTTTTCTAAAAACGACAAGTATTCGAAGGGTGCTAAACATATGGACTTAAAATATTTTGCCGTTAAAGAAGAAGTTCAGAAACAAAGAGTGTCAATTGAGCATATTAGCACAAATCTTATGGTTGTTCAGAAACAAAGAGTGTCAATTGAGCATATTAGCACAAATCTTATGGTTGCGGATCCGTTAACAAAAGGATTGCCTCCAAAGACCTTATGGTTGCGGATCCGTTAACAAAAGGATTGCCTCCAAAGACATTTGGTGAACATGTTGAAAGAATGAGCATTATTGAAAATCATTTCTAACTTTTATGTAAAGTTCATGCTCTTTATATATTTGACATTTTGAGCTCATCTAAATATTGTTTCTGATATTTTAATACATCATGTTTATTATTGTTAGTATATACATAAATGATTATGTGAATATTAACAGGACATGTCTCTGACAAGGACATTATTGTTGGACCATTATGATAAGTCTTATTACATGTCATGTTTAGTTTAAAACTAATATTGTGATACATGGAAGGGACTATGTCGATTTAGCTGCGTACGACCGCCATGATCCTTATTAGTTTTCTACTTAATGATGATTGATGGTTTGATCAATATGATGATCGAATTAGCTTACACTATGCATATTATGTTGTATTATTAAATCATGATGTTAAATTATGAAACATGGGCCAAGTGGGAGAATGTTAGATTTTTTTGTGGCCCACGTTGTTTTAACCAACCTTAATAGTTTCGGTTTTATTCCCACTAATTTTAACTGCCCACTTTTTATTAACCTTAATGGTCATGTTTTATTTTAGTTAAATAACTTCTCACTTATGCTAAGTTCCTATTGGTCAAGATAACTACCCACATTGATGGATTGTGAGTGGTTATTTTCTATTTAATAGGCTTGGCACTGTTTGGCAACCAAAAAAAGTGTCTTATATAAGAGCTTGTGTCTTATTGACTTGGTCAATAAGCTAGTAGAGCTGTTTGGTGACCAAAAATAAGAGGAGATTATTTTGGAGATTGTGTCTTTTACAAGTAACTTTTGGAAAGCTATCTCAAGTAGTGTTTGTCTTTGGGAATGAGCTGTCAATTTTTTTCTTCCGTTTTTGCCCTTAATAATTCTAATTTTATATTAATAATATTGCATGTCTTTTTTAGTCATTTAACAAATTTAAGCTAGTTGTACAGCTACTTTTACCAAACAGTTCTAGTCAATCAGCTAGCTACACGGCTAATAGCTTTCAGCTACAATTTCACAGCTTTCAGCTAGCTTAACAGCTTTCAGCTATAATCTCGTAGCTTTCAGCTAGTTTTGCCAAACAGAGCCTTGGTCCTCTCTCTACCTATGATGTGAAAAAATTTCTCTTCATCAAGAAAATTTCGGAAAAGATTAAGAGGGTAAAGAGAGAGAAATCGAAGTCTTCAACGTTGTCTCTTTGCAGTTTATTTTTGTCGAACTTCCAATCATGGATCAAGGTACATTCTCTTAATTAGATTGTTCATTGTGAAAATCATATGTTCTAAGATCTTGGTATAATGATGATTAAATCAAAATGAAGTTTGATTTACTTAAGAATTTAAGTTTACAGATATAACCTGAATGGTAATTTTTCCTTTCTTTATTCCTTCTGAATTAGGACTTATCGTCCTTTTTTCCCCTATGATCATTGATCTCATAAAACAATTAGATTTTTCTACACAGTCGCACAAAAAGCTAGAATTACAATATAAGTTTGTAGATGGATAAATCTGCCATTATTATTTCCAGAAAAATGACACTTTAGAGCCTTTAGTTATGAATAGTAAATTAATCAGTTCATGAAAACCGAAAAGCTAAGAATTTTCTATATCATTGATTGTAGAGAAATCCCATAAAAAATTTTTTTTTAATAAAACCGGTAAGATATTCCTCTGTATTTCAATCAAAAGAGTCTAATGAAAGATATAGATACGAAATATTGCACTAAACCATATAAAGATGTTACCAGGTCAATATCCTTTAATTTGAAGTCCAATCAACAAAACAAAGATTATAGTAGAGTAGTCCCTAAATTCGATTCCATTCCCTACAGAAAGTTACTCAAACCAGAAATATCTCTCAAGAGAACAACTTATTCTTTCCTAATTTTATTGATCATCAGAAATAACTTCTAAATCCAAGCGCGTGCAAATTAACTAGTCTCCTCAAACTCTCAACGCTGACGAGGACAAAGCCCAGGGCGAGAAGGGCCATACTCGAGGAACCCGACAGTGAAGAGGACCAACTTAGAGGACCCAGCCTTCTCGGTTCTTTCGTACTTGGGAGGAACTCCATACTGTAGATTTTTGGGGATGATCGGTTTGTTGCAGAACGCCGGCGGTCTGACTACCACCTTGCACGTGCCCGGCATGACGCTTGGCTTCTTTATGTTCTGTACTTTGATGAAGAAGTAGCCTTTGGTGTCGGTTGCTGAGTTGCCGTGGTAGGTTATCCCTAGCTTGCTTCTGCACACTAGGGCAACAATGGCACCTGAAGAAGCACAGAGTAATATTGCACTTGTTAGAGTGATCTTCACAAATTTGAAGTCTTTGAGAAAGATGTTTTAAGATGATATCAGAACAATCCATGTTCAAATATTATCTCATCTGCTCTCAAAATTAACAAGAACTTACAATGAATAGTCAAAATAGTTCTTGATTCGCAATATGTCTGATTAAAATACTAAGAAATCTAAGCTCAATGAAAATTGAATCGATCGATACAAATCAAGGTTTGAGAATTTGTATGATGACCAAGAGTGTTTCTTCTCTCTTTAATTAATACCTCATGTCCGTCAAAAGAAAAAAAAATAGTACCCTAAATATACGTTAATTGCGAGTCCAAGATTTTGTTGTAGTATTTCCATAAGTCTTATTTGGAATCTACGTTAATAATTAATTTATACATTTATCCTCCTTAAGTGATGTCCTATGAAAATAAAAATGACTATAAAATAAGCAATGTATTGTGTCAACAGACACTATATATGTAGATCTACTACAATTGTAGAATGTATTGGCGCCAAAATATGATAATAATAATAATAATAATCTACTTATACATAAGAGGGACACAAACCATGAAGGGGAGAAGCATTCAGTGAAGGAGCATAGCCGGGCATTTTGCACGACAGACAATAGATGACACCTTCTACGGCTGCACTCACTTTGACGCTTTAACCGGTGGTGGTGGGGTTTTTACCGGGGGGGAAGGGGGAGGAGTTTTAACCGGCGGAGAACGGGGAGGAGTTTTTACCGGGGGAGAAGGGGGAGGAGTTTTAACCGGTGGAGAAGGAGTTTTTACTGGTGGAGGAGGAGCTTTGGTCGGTACCGGAGCCGGAGGATGAGGAGATATAAGCTTGATTTCCTTCTCATCAGTGAAACCTTCTCCAATATTGCTACACATTGAGCTCACAATAAGCCCAAGCAATTGAAGAGCCACAAGTCCCTTAACCCAACCCATTTTCTCAGTACAACTCAGTGTACAATGTCGAGATTTGCCAAAGCCAGGATGTGCACTTATATAGGGTTCATTTAGCAAGATTCTCGGCATACTTGGATCATCGAAGAACGTTCAGTGGCGGGGTTTCTACGGAGTTTGATGCCTTATTAATTAGTTGGATCAAATTCCAGCTAAGGGGCGCGCGGATTTGCATGCAATCTAATACGACTTTAGGTAAGTTTAGCCTCGATTTAATCACGAAATTGCAAGTAGACGTGTTGGTATTCATAGAAGAGTGTGTGTTGTTGTCTCTTTGTGGGAAATTCAAAGGCCAGCTGTATTGTCCAGATTCGCACCCACAAACATTGATGATTAGTATTGTCTTTTGAGTAGGGGTGAAAAAAGTTTATCCCTACCCGATTAAAAATCCATATATGTATTCGTATATGGTTACTAAAATCTATAATGATTAGATACGGTTATGGTCTTTACGGATATGATTGTGTAGTGAAATATTCATATCTCTATCTGAAATATTGGGATATATATATATATTGGTATGTTGCAATAATTTTAATCCTTATATTAATAGATTTGACGTCAGTTTTGATGATCAAAATATATAATCTTACCTTTTCAAATATAGCGAATATAATAATAAACTCTCTTGTATCATGTGAAGTGTATTTTTTTTAATATTATCTAGTTTTCTCATAATCTGATTTGTATCTGCATATATATCCACTTATATATTCGCTAGCATACTTGTTTCTGAATCCAATTTTAGCGGATATATGAATATAAATATTTCTTACCAATGCATATAAGTATCTGTATCCGTAATTGGTAAACAGATACGAATATCATAAGTATTATATCCGAGTTGCTTCTAGATTGCATGCACCCTACTTCTGAGGGATTGAAGATGATGGGTAGAAACTAACTCTAACTCTTTATTCTTTAATTAATGATTTATTATTTTTCTCAAGCTAATGGGCTAAGGCCCTTATTTCCTTAAAAAATTATTTTCCTTGAGTTAAAAATAAAAATGAATGCAATTAGAGAAAAAATTTAGAAATCATATTAAACATGAAAACAATCAAATAGATTTCATTGTACATTTATGATTTAGAAATGTCTTCTTATGGTGACGATGAAGAAAATTCAAATTTAAAAGGATTCTAACTTCTTAGGATTACGAAAAAGGTATTCATTTATCTCAGTCTACGACATTAGTAGTGCATCAAAAATATATGAATCGTGGGATCAATGTACAATTAAAGCCTAGTGATGTATGAGGTTGTTTGTTTCCATGGATCATGTATTGCTTTAGGTTTCAATGGAAACGTGTGTCCCTACATTAGTAGACATTTTGCCAGGGTAAATTCGTCAGTCACAAAATGTTTTGGTTGTTTTGATAATAAATACATCGGTTTTTCTATAGAGTGCACATGGGCACTCTATAAGAGAGGAGAGAGATAGAGAAAAATGAATTATGCACAGATATTAATGCAAATCAGGGGGACTCATGAGCTATTCATTTCTCTCTATCTTTTTCCTCTTTTATAGAGTGCCCATAGGCACTCTATAGAAAAACCGTAAATACATATGGTTAAGCACCCTCACTCAAATAGTCCTAAGGATTAATTAATATTAATTTGGTGCATCGCCAATACCTTTAACAGTTTAACCGAAACACAGAATGCTTTCTCCAAAATTACTGACTCCAAGAACTTATACTCTCATTTGCAGCACTGAAATTAATGAGAAGCTACTAAAACTTTAAAAAAGGAGCTACTTCCAATATATGCCATGTAGTATCTTTGAGATCAATGAAATATCAGCTAATGGGCACACAGATTTTAATACTTTCTTGGTGATGGGTTGCTATAAAGTATGATAACTTGTTAATTAATGTAAGGATAATGAAATATCAGCTAAGGCCTAAGGGGCACACAGATTGGCATACAATCTAATAGAAAGTGAAGGGAAGTTTAGAAATAGTTCAGTGAATAAATAGTAATTAGTAGACATGTTAGAATTCGTATAAAATTATAATTCTCGATCATCATCATTGGAGTTGTGGTGCAATGGTTAGAGAGACTTAATTTAAGATAATATCACAGCCAATAAAGGTTCAAATCCCAATTGCTATGAATTTAATGCGGATTTTTTAGAAATTGACACCGTGTCTGCGGAGGTATGTTAGAATTAACATAAAACTATCATCATCGACTCTCAACATAACTTCAGAGGTTTGGTCTAATGATTAGAAATAGTTTAGACAGTTTAGTCATAAAATCACAACTAGACACGTCGGTAGTCACAGTGCATTGCGCTTCTCAGTAGGAATTTTATAAGCAAGCTATACTGCCCATGTTCGCGCCATCGTAATTCTGAGGAGTCTAAAGATTTTATATGATTTTGATCTGTCTATGTTTAATTGATGATTATTAAGAATAAGTAATCTTGTTTTCTTGTCTAATATTCTGTAGAATATAACTCTTTGGTTGAGGTAATGTAATCGCGGGCAAGTAATTTGAAGCGAGAGAGGTCGATAGTTTAGTCCCACATTGGTTGGCCGAGGAACTAGAAGAGGTTGTGAAAGATATAAAATGTGGAGGTGGGCTTCGCATGATCCATACTTATCTGGACGGGTGTAGGCGTCTAAAAATGCCTATAGGTGTCCACGCATAGCTCAAGACAAAGAGAAGGCGATGAACGTCATTATCCAAGTCGAAGGGGATTATCCGGGTCAAAGAGAATTATCTGACGCCGACAAGCGTGTGAAGCGAAACAAGTGGCCCGTGCGCTCACCGGCCACCTCCAAGTGGCCGACGTGCTCACCGGCCATCGCCAAGTGGCCCACATACTCATCATCCACCTCCGAGTTAACAAAATGTATGAAGTGAATCAGTGAAGCGTACGAGCCAACATGACACGCGAAAAGGCAAAACGACTCAGCCAGGAGTTGTGTCTCGCCCACACAATGAGTGGATCGGCCATTGTAAGCCCACACCATGAGTGGATCGGCTATTAAAAGTTGTAGGTCTCTTCGTTAGCTTTCTAACGCATAAAATCCCCGAGATGGTACGAACTGGCTCGTGAGGCTGTGAGCCACTATTTGGTGGCTCACACAAAGAAGTAACAGTTAGACCATGAGTGGATAGGCCATTGGAAGTTGTAGGTCTCTTCTCCACCTTTCCAACGCATCTTGAATCATCTCATTCCGAGATCGAACGAGAAAGTTAGAGCCAACGTGACACGCGAAAAGGCAAAACGACTTAGCCAGGAGTTGTGTCTCGCCCACACAATGAGTGGATCGTCCATTGTAAGCCCACACCATGAGTGGATCGGCCACTGAAAGTTGTAGGTCTCTTCGTTAGCTTTCTAACGCATCTTGAATCATCTCATTCCGAGATCGGGCGAGAAAGTTAGAGCCAAAATACCCGAGATGGTACGAACTGGCTCGCAAGGCTGTGAGCCACCATTTGGTGGGCCCACACAATGAGTGGATCGGCCATTGAAAGTTGTAGGTCTCTTCGTTAGCTTTCTAACGCATCTTGAATCATCTCATTCCGAGATCGGACGAGAAAGTTAGAACCAAAATACCCGAGATGGTACGAACTGGCTCGCGAGGCTGTGAGCCACTATTTGGTGGATAGGCCCAGGCCGAGCCACCATTTGGTGGATAGGTCAAGGCCGAGCCACCATTTGGTGGATAGGCAGCCACGGGTCTGTTCGGCCAAAAGTTGGTTTTTTCGGTTCTTTTATGGATTCTTTTAGGATTTTGGATTCCAACTGCTCTGATATTGTTTTTAGATAGTTACTAACTGAAGATAGAGGGAATCCCTCGTTTTGAGCTGAAGAAACCATCAACCAAGCCTATAAATAAGAGCTCTAGTGTTCATTTTTGAGTGGATCAAGAAGGCGAGGTGCTGCCGGTTTCTCAAGTGCATAGCCACGAATTTCAGAGAGGGTTAGTAGATCTTGGCGATCTCCTGTGCATAAAGAGTGGAGTTCGAGAGATCTGAGACCCGTCCCCTATTCCTCCGGATTTAAGCTTAGTCTTAAATCCCGAGAAGAGCCGTGATTTTACTTAGTCAAAATTGTCGCTACTGCAATTACTTCCTTCGTGAAGTGAGAGCATTGATTATCCAACTTCTGCTAACCGGATCTGATCCGCGGCGGTCCATGATCAAACCTCATAAAAAGTTAGGGTCATCTCACACTCCCATCTCACCTGGTCAACACTTCCTACAGTTAAGGAACCACATTCAAAATGCCCCTCTGCATTCCCTCCAATGAACGAGAAGGTTCACTTTCAAACCGGATGATCAAAGCCTTCCTACAGTTAGGGTCACCCAAAACTCCAGCCCCGCTTGGTCAACCTTCCTCATTAATAGTAAGACGGCAAAAAACCGACAATTCACTCTCGATTAAGACGAGAAATCCATCTTTAGTTCGTAATAAACCTTCTGAGCAGTTAGAATTATCTGAATTTTTCGATTCTCGAGTGAGATCCCGCATTCCTAGTTTCACTTTTCGGGATCTAGGGGGAGATCTCACCTCAAGTCTCCTTTCCAACTGGAGATAAGAATATAATTCTTGTCCTCTCAGTTTAGGAGATAGAAATAAAATTCTTCCTCTCCTGGCATCCGGTTCGTCTTTGCCCCAATAAAGACACCACTTTTTTAACGTACCAAAATCGTGTCTCATACGCAC